AGACAAACAAAAAGAAGAAATCACTTCAACCCTACATGTCAAGCAGAGTGAGCACACCATGTGCACTTCAAGAATGACGTTAAATGCAGTTTAGTGGCAACTTGGCTTAGAGTTAGACCTGTCAAACCGAAGTGTGCAACTAGATTAGCCACTATCATTCACTGACGCTTCGCGTTTTTTTGCCGATATTGCCATTTAAAAGCAGAGCTATTATGTTGCTTGAGTTTCATATCCCATCATATATGAATCCATTACGGTGAGTCGAGAACAGCAGTGAGATAAAATAGGGGGGTATGATGCTTCACGAGCAAGGATGACAGGTCATGTAACGTCATTGATTTCGCATTTATGCAAAGTCACAGATTAAGCAGACAAAAATATGCAATGAACATGTATTTGCGGGAGATTATGTTGTCGTGTTGTGTCAAAAGTTTAGCTAACATTAATGGACATCATCTAGTTAAAAAGATAAGGTAAGGACATTATCTTTCTTCTCTAGATCCACCTGCCCAGCCATACTTCACCTGGAAGCTTCTCTTTCTGAATGGCAACCACAACTGGATCTTCTCTGGACAACCGCACAGGCCTCTATTCTCCATCTTGATCTGGATAACAAGGCATATCTATTACAGGCCCAATCTATTTTTCAAGTTTTTTATGCGATAGTTTCCCTCTAGTCAACTATAGTGGGCTAGTTCATTGAACCTAATAAAGTAATATGGATCTGCATTGACAAGAGGTGTACATCATCTTTTCAAAGCAAAACTTAATCGGAAGTGCAAATGTTTCTTCACTGGAATACACACTTTACAGAAAGGCATGACCAAATGTGTGTCGTTTCTTTCATACGAGGGGTAGAATCTTCAATTGGATCTATCAATGGCCCATAAGAGCCTTCGGGATTGACCTAGTGAACTGGTCATGCACTTCTCATCTACCCAAGTCGTGCTTTACCCGTTGCACATTGAAATGAGAGTGAACATCCAACTTAACATCATAATTAGTGATTTTCATAAAGTTGAAAGTGGGCACTATTATGGGCCAAACTCCAGCAAGAGTACCTACAACTCGTCACTCTACGGCTAGCCACAGGAGACATCATAGCCTTTGGTGGAGCGTGCACCTCATGGCGGTCCATCGCTTTCAAAGAGGAGCACGGCACGAGGACGAGAGCCCCTTGGCTCAGGATTCTTGAGCCCAAGTCACCACAACCGGAGTTCTTCAGCTTGTCTAGAGGAACAACCATACTTTTATCATGTTAAGTGTGGATGTTGCTCTCGTATCAAGAGCTTGACATACTTCCACTAACATTAGTTTAGGGAACCTTATCAAAAGATAGTCGCCAAGTGATATCTGTCAACTGTGAAATCTTGCGCATGGCATTACGTCCACCTCCTTAGATTGCACAAAAGCAAGTTGCCCCCTCTTGGAATCAGGGGATATCCAATGAACTACTTCTCTTCTGGGCCCAAACTAAGAAGTGATCACTAGCTGTAATTAGTGGCAGGATTATGCGATATGGTTCTTTGAATTTGTAGCGGGTTCTTGTGGGCTTGTACACAGAAAAGAAGAGAAACTGCTTCTGATGAATTCACAACATTGGGGACCCATTCTCTCTAGCATTAATAAATGCCACTAACATAATGTAGGACTCTTCACATCTATGTCTCTTCCAGTGTCCTGAAATTGACTAACATGGCATTTTACTTTGTGATGTCAACCAGAATTTCAGTGAAAGAAGTTGGTGGACGTAATAAATCAATGCATAAAGCAATTTGTGGAGCCTAACGTCTTTAAGGTGCGTTTGTTTCATGAAAAATTTGAAAAATATTTCCAAAAAATAATCGTATGTATCGTTTATAAAAGTAAATAAATAAAAAATATTTTTATCTCTCATGAAAATATTTAGACATAAATTATTGTCGATAATGAAAACATTTTTCAACAAATGATTATTTCAAACGATATAAGCGATTATTTTTAGGAAAATATTTTCCAAATCATTCATTTTCCGTAAAACAAACAAAGCCTAAGATGGCAACTGTAATTCCAATCATGTGTCAATCTTTTGTCCTATATGATAATCTCCTGGTGTTTGAATAAATCTCAATAATGAATTTATAAAAATAAAAACTTTATATACGGTTAAGATTTATTGAGACATCGAATGGAATACCAAATCGAATGGAATACCAAATGAAATAGAAGATTTCTACAGGATATCGAAAATCTTCCACGTCTATTATAATCCTCAATTATGACCCTTTTTTAAAAAATCTTGTCAATTAACAGAGAAAGGATATGCACAAAAAGCTAAAATCAAAAGCAGACACTCATTGCACCGGCCTCACGGAGCGCGTCTTTTAGCAGAATAGTTGTGGGCAGAGAGACGAAGACAGACTAACAACTAGTCCTTCCCCAAAATATATGTATTATAAGTTATAGTACTTTGTCACTCTCCACATTGATACCACAATAATGTTTAAGTTATATGACATCATAATCATATTTAGGAGATCGTAATTTGGAAATCATAGAACCTACGACAAAAATGAGGAAGAGAGCTCTTCAGCACGAGCGATTTACAAGTGAAAATCGTCGTTACCGAAACTTTGCCATTAAGGATGAACAAATTTTCTAAACTAAAAAGTGACGCGAAGGATTTACGAGTGCATGTCGATGACGATCTTCTCTAAAGTCCGAGACACATCTAATGAGAATCATGATCGCATTTTAGTTAGCCAAAACCCTTGTCCATCCACACCAAATAGAAGGACTTTTTCTCGTAGCAACTACTAAAACAGAATGAGCACATTATGTGAAGTTCAAGAATGATGTTAGATGCAGGTAGGGGCGATTTGCTTTAAAGTTAGACCTACCAAACCAAAGCGTTGCTGCTAGATTAGTCACTATCATCCACTCAAAGTTGCACTTTGCGTTTGTCTTGCGGATATTGACATTTAAAAAAGCAGAGCTATTATTTTGCTTGAGTTTCACTTTCCATCATGCGTGAGTCCTTCAAAGTGAGGATGAGTTGTGCTATGACTTTACATTCTAACGGTGACTTATCGGGGAAGTTATCTTTCTTGTTACCAAGATCATCTTCGGCTTTACTTCCCATGGTAAATAGCCACCCAAGCCCCCCGCCACATGCATCGCCATTGTTCTGTTGGAGGCCGTAACCAACCTCGTATTTGAGGCAAGCGACGGTCCCGCGCTAGCTGAAGGCCCAACTGAGTTCATGGCCACCGTTGTCGAGCTCTCGGCTTGCGAGCTTGTCACAAAGGATTGTGGCTAGCCACGGCCCTCGGCAGCTCGACCTCGGCAACCGTGATCCACGGGCTCAAGTTGAGCTCACACTGCCTCGCAGTCCCATGTCATGAACAATCTCGCCACAAACAAAGACAGAAATGAGGGGAGAGGGGCGCGAGCAGCAGGGGAGGGCGACGGTGATATCGTCGGCTTCAGGGTCGCACTATGGTGTTGAGTCGGGGTGGCTCTCGATCGTAATGCGATGTACTACTATGCGTGAGGAGAGAGATGGAAGGGGAAGAGAGTGGGAGAGGGGTTTGGGTCTAGATTTTAGACATGCGTGGAGGAAAATTGTTCAAAATATCATAAACCTATTGTACGGAGACCAATTTAGTCATAAGCCTTTCAATTATTTCAATTTAGTCCTAAACCTTTCAATTATATAAATTTAATCCTAAACATTTCGACATTTTGCCAATTTAGTCCTAAACCTTTTGACGATTTGTCAATGTAGTCATTCTGGCCAAAGATTCAAATAATAAGTTTAGGACTAAATTAGCAAATTTTCAAATGGTTTAGAACTAAATTGACATAAAAAAAAGATTATGGATTAAATTAGCAAATCGTCAAGAGATTTAGGATAAAATTGGCACAATTGAAATGTTTAGGACCGAATTGGCTGTTGTACAATAGGTTTAGGACTTTTTGGATAATTATTTCTGTGCATGGAGCAAATGGTTTTTTTAGGTTGAGGAGACGTAAATGGTAGATTTTGAGATGTGAGGACAGCATATGATATGGAGGACAAAGTTGAGAATGGTTTTTGCAATCATTTTTTTTTTCTTGAAAGTAATTAAAGTTCAATTATAAGCCTTAAAATCATCTTATGATTTTGAGGAAATCAAGATCAGCTGTGATATGAGATTAGGGGGAATAAGCTTCACGAGCAAGGATGACAGATTATGCGAAGTTATTGATTTCACATCTACCGACACGATTGGGTAATCTTCGAAATTTCATTATGATGGACGAATGTATTTCGTGTTTATGCTTAGCTTTCAATTGAATCGACATAACCAATTTGATCAATCTCTCTCCACTCATAGCGCAATGAATATATAATGATATGTCTCTGTGAGATCATATGGTCGAGTTGTGTCGAAAGCTCCTAGTAGCTCTAATCGACGTCATTTAGTTAAAAAGAGAAGGTCAAGGACATTATCATTCTTCTCTAGATCCACCTACCCAACCATCTGAACCGGAAGCTTCTCTTTCTGAATGGCACATTGCAATTGGATCTTCTGTGAACAAACCACCTAGGCCTCTGCTTTCTCCATTTCAATCTTTATTTTCTTGGCAGATTTACCACATAGCCCAATCTACTTTTCATGTTTCTTTTAGTGGCCGAAAAGGCCCCTTTTCAAGCTCATAAATATGTGGCTGAAGAAATCATCATAGAATAATCATTACAAAGCAAAACTCATTGGGAATTTCTACAACCGTTTCTTCACTTAAACACACAGAGACTTTACAAATGATCATGATCATACGTGTGTTGTTTCTTTGATATGATGCATCTTATCTCCATTAGGTCTACGTCTTATTAATGCTCCACAACACATGCAGTACAAAGGTTAGGGTTTTGAAGATTCCTTCCTAAAGAAGCATAAGATCAATAGTTGACTCGACCTGTTCATTCACGGAATGAATCACCATTGAGGCGAGCAAAAGACATGAACACGAGAGGAGACATGAAAGGGACTTAGAGTTTTATTGAAATGAAGAAATCGACAAGTAACAAGTCATGTGTTGGACAATTATTTGACCACATATACCACACTATACCAGACCACCAACCTTATCAAATCTTTCTATACCCACGAAGAAGATAAAGAACCTAAGATAGCCCTCAAAAATTGACTTATGCATCTTTCACTGAGTTATTACATTGACAATCGACGTGAGAAAGTTTGAACTCGATTCACATGACGGTGCATCCAGCGGCATTTTCTTCACTGAAGTAATCGCACCGGCTCACGTAGTAACCCCTGTTCCCACCTTGACACTCGTAAGCCGGTCTTCCGCATCCATCGTGGCACATCACCGGCCTCCCCTGCCCATGACAATAACATGGTCCCCCACCATACCCTACATAACATGGACAACAGCACACCCCCACCATCGGATACATCGGCACTGGCGGGTAGCCTGACACCGGCTCTGGCGCCTTCGGGGGCGGCGGTGCTGGTGTCGGCGCCGGAGGCTTCGGCGGGGCCGGTTCGGGGGCTTTCGGGGGTGGTGCAGGTGCAGGTGCCGGCGCTGGAGCGGGAGTGGGCTTGGGGGTTTCTTTCGGAGGCTCGACGATCACAACTTTGGGCTTCTCGGGTTTCTTCTCCGGCTCCTTCGGCTTCTCCGGTTTCTTCTCGGGCTCCTTCGGCTTCTCGGGTTTCTTCTCAGGCTCCTTGGGCTTCTCCGGCTTCTTCTCGGGCTCCTTGGGCTTGTCGGGCAGGATCTCGACGCTCTGCACCGTCTCGCCGCCCTTGCAGATGATCTTGTCCCGGATCTTCTCCGGGCTGCAGCACAGGACGGTGATCGTCACCGTGTTCTGCTTCTCATCGTATATCTGGTCTCGGATTTCTCTTGTTCACAAGTTAAATTCAATGCAAAACTCAGTCGAATTAAATCCAACAGAATGCAATAGTAGCCACTCATAAAGAAATGACAAATAGTTTGAAACCAAAAAGAGGAGACAAAAAAAAACGAAAACACAGAGAGAAAGAGAGAGAGAGACTCACGGGGAAATTTACAGAGGATTTTCTTGATCTTCCTGTAGCAGCGCGAGCACTGCAGATCCACCTTTATCAACATTTTGGTCACCTGCAACAACCAAAAACAACGCAAAAACTGATAAAGCCAAGTGAATCGAATGAATGCTTGAGTTTTTCCATCTCCCAATCGTCTGCAGAGAAAGCATCAGGGCAGAGAAATGCAAGAACAGAGAAACGAACAAGATTGGACCCGGCAAAAGATCAACCAAAACAGAGAGATGAGCTGCTCTGAGAATCGTCGCGACCATAGAATGATGATGAAGGGAAGAAAGAGGAGGAGGGCTCACCTTCTCCGCCATGGCTGCCGGGAGAGACAAGATCTGGAGAGCTCGAGAACGAGTGAAGGAAGGAGCTAGTGATGATGGTTGTGTGTGTGTTTGTGATAGATGAATATGAATGATAGAGAATGAGAACAGTTTGGTGAAGATAGGGAAAGGTCCCTATAAATTTAATACCTCATTTGCTTCTTTAGCAACTCGACGAAATTAGAAATGATGTGACGCGGAATCAATCACAGTGCAAAAAAGCGTTACGGCAAATTCGCATTTCGGATCTTTTCGGTTCGGACGAAACCTCAGTGGTTTTATTTAGCGGAACGAGTTAATGCATGCTCGATCGAAAAAACCAAAAAAAAAAGAAGGTACATTCATGCGCGATTTTGCGATGCTAAAAGAACAATCGGATGTGGACACGTGTGGAGGACATTGAGTTTCATGTAGGGCTCCGGTCCAATTCCGTGGATTTTCTCATGCCAATGGAATCACTTAGAATTTTGGTGAAAACATGTTAAGCTATGGTGAACGGTGTTTTGAAAAATTTGTGTAGGTTTTAAAACTAACACGGAGCATTTTTAACCCTGTACTGATGTTGGCGAGCCACTATCACGACAAACAATGTCGTGCTAACAACGAGCTTAGGCCAGGTGGGGTCGTCTATCCTAAGTTGTATCAAAGCCAGGGTGTAAATGCTGGGTCTCACACGTCTTCGTTAGAGACAGGTCATTGAGCCATGATAGATAAGTCTCAAGCAATATCCAATTGGCACGATACATTTTCAAAACCATGCAGGCGCAAATAAGCCATGATTAGAGAAAATATCAAGACAACAGAGGCTTGGAGTGTGCCTACCTACATCCATGTATTCATGAAGCTCAACTACCAAACGGGAGAGTATTTCGATGTAAACATTCTATATTTCAACGTATCAAAGCATCAGTAAGGTCAAGAGCCTATTAAGGCTCCGTTTGTTTCGCGAAAAATGAATCATTAACATTCGCTTGTATCGCCTACACAAAAGAATGAACGAAAAATTATTTCATCATCCATGAAAATGTTTAAACATAAATTACTGTCGATAGTGAAAACATTTTTCATTTAGCATAAATAATCAATGTTAAAAAAATATTTTTCAAATTATTCATTTTTCGTAAAACAAAACGGAGTATGAGGTTAAGATTCTTTTAGGGGCTTTTCAATCCTTTCATGTACTCCCAATTTAATCTAGTGAACCCTATGGTCTTTGCACAAAACATGGGGATCAATATCAAAATCTGAACAGTAACAAGCTCGTGACCATATATTATAATTTATAAACCAGAAAATAGGGGAAAAAAAACTCCAAAAGGTGACAAAAGAGTGTCGGGTCGGGTCGGGTCGGGTCTTGCTTGGACAGCGACACGATTGCATGGAATTCAGCACCTCAAATTCTTCAACCGTTTTTTGAATCGCACGTTCAGGATTGAATATTCATCTTTTCTTTTCTGATCTGATTGCCGACTCCTCAATCTACGGCTTGCGTCTGCATGTGCTGGCCTTGGAATTATTTTCCTTGATTGATACATCTCACCAAACCACAAAAATTGAAATTAAAGGTCTCGCAATTTGGAGCACTAAATCGATTTAATCAAATCTTTTTTTTGTCACTAGTATTAAGCATTTGCTTCTAATGCAATTCTTCAAATAAACATAGTATACATTCACTTCGACAGGACTAAGCTTATCGGTATATCTAGAAATAAAGAGATTCACGTCATATCCACGAAAGATCACGTCGGCAATTTCCGACGGCAAAATTGGCCGGAAGGGTTATATTGGAATTTCGTACAAAGAATTAGGGCTGCATTGATAAAATTGAAAAGTTCGAGACTGAATTGGCATCCTAATCCAACTCGAGAACAGTCCGAGGTTGATTTGAGGGAAAACCAATTTGGTTCCCGGTCCTGTGAATCTAGGACCAACCCAGAACCGGTTACACCCAAAAATCGGTTCAAGTCAATTCCATATCGATTTTCAATTGCAATCTTTTGTAATCGAAAGTCACAGTGTCCTTTCCCGATTGTAGACCAAAGTCGATTCATTCTTAAATCGATCACCTTATGTACCTCGAATATTATCTTTCATTTTATAGCGACTTATATGGTTATCGAAACCCTAAATTCGAGTTTGACTTCTTCAAAAAAAAAAAAACCTATAGAGAGAGACTTGAAAGAAAAGTAGAAGTTGGCATACGTAGTTTGGTCAGGAGTAATTATGGGCCGTGCTCCCCCACATGGCGACCGTCCACGTGTCCCTAGACCTCGTGCTACGCATCTTGGATCCACCACACCCATGCTTTAAACCCTCTTAATTGTTGCCCTAATCTGACCCAAAAAAAAAAAATTTGTTGCCCCAACCTTTTGCAATTTGAGTGTCGGCGAGCAGATAAATAGTGAATTAATTAATAAATTGTCAACTTTAGTTTTGAGTGACGCAAGGAAAGAGTGGCCAACTGAATTATTGGAGGCCCAATTTGGCTTTACATGTGCTTTTGTTTTGGTGTCTAGTAAAGTAGGAAGCTTCTACACTTTTAGATTGTAGATATTAGGGCTTCAAAAGTTTCATGTGATTTGAGTAAATGCAAAAGAGTATGGATGCTGAAATCAACTTATCATTACGTGGGCAGTATTCATAGTCTCTTTGATTACATGCAATTTGATCACGCAAAAAGCTCATAATTGTGAATCCAGGCCACCTTGTAAAATTCAACTCTATGGCTAAGTGAATACTACTAACATTTGAAGTAGAAACTTCACATGATATGAAATAAGGGCATCTAGAAGAATCGCCCGAACCGAACATATCCTGGAAAAAACAATTCGGGTCTTTTTGGGTCGAGTTTCCTTTCTATTCAAGTAGTAACTAAAATAAAAGAGTTTTTGACGGTTCGGTTTGGTCACGAAATATATTACTAAACTTATTTCAAAACCAAAGTCACGAACACATAAAAGAAAACCCGAAAACTAGACCCAATTTAAACGTTTTCTTTGATTCTAGTTCTATGAGGGGTGGAGTCTCATGTCGGGTTTAAAAAAAATAAATATATACCCTTCACGTCCGGATCGGATCGGATTGGATCGGATTGGGCATCAGTGGAGATCCGAACCGAACCCACCTGGTGATACCACCGACTACAAATTCCCTCAGCCATGTCTTTTGTTCTCTCTCGTCCATCTCGTGTGAACTAAAAACCACTCCTAAAGAAATGCATGTTACAGTTTGATAAGATCCATTCATTTTAGATTGGGCCCATTCATTCTTCATCTTCTTCTTGTTTTTTCCTTTAATTGTTTCATATTTTTCATATCCTAGACATTGTCAATCATATTCTTTGTCGACATGTAATCGCATACAAGGCTAATCAAGACACATGATTAGACATTGAATTGAACTTAAGGGAGTGCAATCATGGTGGGTTTCAATCTTTCATAAAAAAAAAGTCATCCAAAGGATTGACAACGACCTAACCATGTCGAATCATCATGATCATCATTTCAATTTCGAAAATCCATGCCATGATACAAGTGGCCGCCATGGATCCATGTAATTCTAGATGGTGTTGTTGTGGACGAATAGCACTAATCCAAGCAAAGAGGTGGGGCTCCAAAGGAGGACAATGCTTATGCAAATGTTGAAGTCATGGGGAGTATGAAGACATATGAAGGGTGGGCCTTCCCTATGATTCTTGGCTTGGTATATTTGAAGAAGGAACAAAAGTTAGTTCCCACCACCTATACCAATTATCTCATCTTCATTTGCAAGCTAGTTCGCATGTGCGGCCAAATTTGGTGGGCTCAACTCAAAGTTAGGGTTAGGCCAAAAATTTGCTCTTCTAATACATAAATACACACATATAAATAGGGAAAATTACCCAAAAGAAATTTTACACTTATTGTATAGATGTCAATTTAATCATAAACTTTTTAATTTGGCCAATTTAGTATTAAACTTTTTTGACGATTTGCCAATATAGTCATTTTGGGCAATATTTGGCCAGCAACCGCTGATGTGGATGCCGGTCAGCCATCGTACGTGGCACAACTAACGCTAACGTGGACATTATTTGTTGTTCTTTGTAAATTTTCTGAATTTTCTTATAATTTCTTTTTCTTTTTCTTTTTTTTTTCCATTGTGGGCCAGCGAGGGTTGTGGCCCTTACCCGGATTGCCAGCCACTGGGTAAGGGCCGCAACTCTCACCCACGATCGTTGAGGGGGCGAGGGCTTGTGGAATGCAAGAGTCGGCTGGTGATCGCCCTCTAGAGGTGGGAGGAGGATCCTTTTTTTAGAGATTGACTCCCATTCATACTAGGAATCACAAATGGAGGCCTCATTGTCTCTCACTTTTAAGGGATCGATCAGTTTTTCGTCATCCAAACACTGAAAAGTCGAAAAAATAATTTCTCAAAAACAGTTTTTATACACTATTTAAGCCTTCCTTGACTGGTGGATTGCTTTGCTTTGCTTTGCGAATCTTCTTCGATGTTCGTTTCCTCCTGAAGGCGTTGCTTTGCCTACCAGCTTCAACAATGCGAGGCCCAAACCAGCATGTATGGGCCCGAATTTGCCATCATGTTGGTCCACTTTCTTAATTTTCAACTGAGAAAGTCATCGAAATGCAGACGACAAACTTTTAAACACTATAAAGGCCAAAATAATCATTTCCAAATCTAAAGGTAGACTAATAAGATGAATAAATAGAAAGTTCTACTTATATACAAAGGATTGATTTAGAAATTTTATTCGGGATCATTGCAAAAATCATCCTCGACTTTGCTCGGCATTTCGAGTACCCTCCTCACAATTTGAAAGCTTGCAATTTGCCCTCATGCGCACCCCGAATTCTAACTCAATAAGTGAAGTCCATGGTCGAGGATTTGGTGTTTGGGGAAAAAAATGGTGACTTGGTAAATTTTGTATGGATGAGAGACGCAACTTGAAATTCAATGAAAAAGTGAAGATGGTAATTGTATATCTAGAAACACGAGGTGCATGTTTGATATGAAGAGAAAATTTGGGAACGATTTTCGTAATACTCTCTCTTTTTTTATTTCTAAAGTCGAGTTTGGATAAGTATGGAAGCGGGACCTGCTTGGAGGTCCTACACAAGCATGAGGTTCGGGCTCGATAGCTCGACTCGCTTGTTTCGATAATCGTACGTCTATTTTCGCATCGCTTTGTAAATCAATTATTAAAATGCGAGATCTTTCGAAAAACTATAAAGATTTAGCTGAACCTCTTATT